TTTCTGATCCAGAGGCAAATGTCCTACCAACTGGGCCCAAAGGAAGGATAATTGATGCAAAAGCAGCTTTGACATTATTGTAAAATTACAACAGAAAAGACCTTGATTACCTGAAAGGGAAAAAATCAAAACTAAAATCCAATTGAAAGGGAGAAATATTCTGCTCCCCAAGATGACACACATATTATTGTGCACTGAACTTCTTCTACACATGTATCCTGACAATGGTCCAAAACTTTTAAGAGGGCTTTACAGTTCAAAGAGCATAAAGGACAAAAACTGATTGTAAAAGGTTATTTGTACTGTTTGTAATGAAAAATAGAGAGATGAATAATAAATGAAATTAAATAGGACAGCAGTGAGAGGTAGTGCAGTATAGAATATTATTATTTTGGCAGTTTGAGATGCTTGAAGGGCGCTATGTAAATGTAATTTGTTGCATTAATTATTTTTGCTCATTTAAATAAAAAAGATTTCTCCAGACATAGGGATGGAATAAAGCTCGTATCTGGATGCAGGCAGTTCCTGTAATATTTGTTATCTGTGTGTAAATAGAGAGAATAATGTGTATTATAATTTACCAAATATATTCTACAATAGAATCAGCTTAAAATAATTACTGTAGATTTGATCCTTCTTCATATACCATCTTCTATTGTTTATCACTGTGATCATGGGAATCACACAGTCTAGGCAGACATTTGTTTTCTGCCTTTGGCAAATTATGATTGAGTTATTATTATTAATAATAATCATTGAATTTGATGTAGCACTTTTCATGTCAGGGAGATGCTTCAAAAACACTTCACAGCATTTCTTGTGAAAAATAGTTTACAATGACTGACTGCTTTGTTCACAAAAATTACACTGGTATTTCGTGCATTGAGATTTGTTTGCTGGCAAGAGGAACATGTCACTTGAGAGCTCATATAATTATGATAGGTTTTTCAACAGATATGTTCATACTTATATGGGTTTTCGAGGTGAACCCTAAATCATATTATAATAGCAGAGATATTGTTTTCACAAAAATCAGCCACCTCAGGGAAATGAAATTAAAACTCGAAGCTGCCAAGTGAGACTCGGAAAATTTAACTTGTATTCTTCAGAGGAAAGCTATTGATACAGAACAAAATACAAGCCTTGAAATGTTGCATGAAAGGATGAATAATGCATATATGAGCAGGAATACGTAGGTGAGCAATTCACCAAACAACAATTGAGTAATTGAAAGATAAGAGTACAACATCAAGGCACTTCAAGAAATTTAGACATAATTTTCCCATTGGAAGAATAGATTAAAAAATCATAGAAAAATAATAGCATGAAAGATGATATCTCCTGTCTGTGCTGGTGTTAGCTCCCTGAATGTTGAAGCTATCTCGTTCTTTCCCTATAATGTTTAATATCATTATTTCTCAATTATTCAATAATTATTTCCCTTTTAAATGTGGTTTTGGACCGAGTTTCAACAGACATTTGTGGTAAATATCCATCATTCTAACACCATTATGTGTAATAATTCCCATTGAAAGCTATTTATATAATGTTAAATCATTTAAACTGTTCTTTGGGGGTCAGCCAAGTGTCTGACACATACAAAACCATCACCAACCTTCCCATAGTTTGTCCAGATAAGACCACCCTACCTGTAAGGGCTTTGATTTGCTGGAATAACAGGAGTTGAGTGGGAAGGATCCCACTGCCCAGTCTGCTCCTCCAAGTACTGCAGATGGTCTGTCATCAGCAGTGCAATGGAGAACTGCGGATATACTGGCTCAGCAAATAGACGGCCGCCACAGAGGTTTGACTGAATTCCACCTTTCCATCGTCAAATATGTGACCTCAAAGCCAGTTTAACTCTGAGAAACCACCTCTCCCAGCCACCACCACCCCGGATAGATAAATTCCATTAAATAGCAGTTGGATGAATATCCTCTCAAGCATGGGATTGAGTGTTATAAGGTCAAGGACAGACTTGTGAAGATACTTTGCAGGTTATGTGGATAAAGTTAGACAGAGATGATTAGATATTCTATTGGCTACAATGATAGAAAAAGATGATCAGATACTCTGCCAGTTATAAAGGTAGACAGAGATGATCAAATATTGCATCTGCTGTGTCAATTTTTCAATAAAAAGATCGTACTTGGAACTACAGTCTTCATTTGATGTGATAAATATATGTATCACACCTGTCAACTCTTAATCCTTTTTTTCATAGCATATCTCTTAAAGGATAATCTTTAACATCTGTCTACTCTAACATAGCTGAGTTGTCTTTATATTCTACTTGTTGCTGGCTGCAATTTCCTTTTCTACTTCCTCTAGTACTTTTAGTTGCCCTTGGCTGTCTTTTATATGACTCCCAATACCCAGTGACATCTGCTTCTTTGTATCTTTTACAATATTTCTGCTCTGCCTTTTGGCAAATGTTCACATCTTTTGTCTGTGTTGTCGTAGGCTGAGCCAGTGATTTGTACAACAGATTATGAGAATTCTCAATAGACAATTTAAGACATAAAGAAAGGCACTTCAGTCTCTTTATCTGTAAAATCAGTACAGAACAAGTTCAAAAATATATTTGCATGAGAATAAAAAAATCAGGCCATCTGATATGCTGCTGACATATTGTTAAGGTCTTAAATTTGTCTTCATTTGTATTTGGATAGAATCTATTCACTACTCATGCATAAAATTACACTCCTTCATTCTTTCTGATATCTGTTCCCTTTATGACTTTAATTTTTTTCAGTTATGAACTGAAATGTCACCAGGCAATTTACTTTTGGATATGGAGAATTTATAATGCTCAAGAGGTGTTATAGCTGCAGTTCAGACGGAAATTAAACATGCTTTAGAACAATCGTTGTATATGCGCAACATTCTGACAATTTCAATAATAACAACAACAAGATTCCATTTATTGAGCGCCTTTCACGTTGGGAGGACGTCCCAAGGCGCTGTACAGTTGGGTCAGGACCCGAGCAGGGGGGGAAATGGTCAGGGTGAGGGGAGGGAAGGAGGGAGCGAGGAGGGGGTAGAGAGTCGAGAGGGGAGCTGAAGACACGGTCAAAGAGAAAGGTCTTGAGACCGATCTTGAAGGAGGAAAGGGAGGAGGCAAGGCGAAGGCACTGGAGGATGGAGTTCCAGAGCCTAGGGGCTGAGAGGCTGAAGGCCCGGCCATCGATGGTCGGACGGTTGGGCCTTGAGGTGATAAAGGCTTGGACCAGAGTTTCAGCAGCGTGAGGGGTGGGGTAGTGCCGTAGTCTGTTGATGTTTTGGAGGTGATGGAAGGCGGTACCAGTTGTGGCGTGGATATGAGGGAGAAAGGACAGCTCAGGGTCGAACAGAACACCGAGGTTCCTGACTGGCTTTGAGAGGTGGAGAGTGCAGCCTTGGATGCTGATGCTGTCAGCGCCTGAGGTGCGGAGGCACTGACGTGAGCCAATCAGGAGGGCCTCAGTTTTACGCACGTTGAGCTGAAGAAAGTTGTCTCTCGTCCAGGACTCGATGTCGGACAGGCAGGCTGTCAGGACATCGGTGGTCGTGGAGTTGAAGGTAGAGGAGGAAAGGTAGAGTTGGGTGTCATCCGCATACATGTGGAAGTTAACCCCATGTCTGCAGATGATGTCACCAAGGGGGAGCATGTAGAGGGTGAAGAGGAGGGGACCGAGGACAGAGCCCTGAGGGACACCGCACAAGACAGTGCGGGGGCTGGAGGAAAAACCATTCGTGGAAACAAAGTGAAGACAGTGGGAGAGGTATGACCTAAACTACTCAAGGACAGGGCCTTGAAGGTTGAGGTGGGAAGACAAGCGGTGGAGGAGGATAGCGTGGTCGACCATATCGAATGCTGTCAATAGGTCGAGGAGGACGAGGAGGCAGAGGGAGCCCTGGTCACAGATGGTCAGGATGTCATTGGTGACCTTGACCAGGGCAGTTTCTGTGCTATGGGCAGCACGGAAACCCGACTGAAGGGGTTTGAATAATGAATGGGTGGAAAGGAAAGAGCGCAGTTGGGAGGCGACAACTCGTTCCAGGACCTTGGACAGGAAAGGGAGGTTGGAGATTGGCCGGTAGCTTGATAGCTGCGACGCATCAAGGGAGGGTTTTTTTCAAGGTGGGAGTGATGGTGGCAGTTTTTAAGGGAATGGGAACAGAGCCAGAGGAGAGGGACAGGTTGACGATGTCTGTGATATGTGGGGCAAGGAGGTGGAGCTGGGAGATAAGGAGTGGAGTGGGGATGGGGTCAAGGGAGCAGGTGGTGGGTTTCAGGGATAGGATGAGTTTGGTGACAGAGGGTGGGGAAACGGGTACGAAAGTGTGTAGGGGAGGATGGGTAGGAGTCGGAGTGTGGGAGGGAGGGTTGGGGGGTGGGTGGATGTTGGAGGGGAAGTGACCGCGGAGCGAATTCCCTTGATTTTGGATTCAAGGAAATCCAGCATCTCCTCGCAGTGAAGGTTGGAGGAGATGACCTGCGCGGGGTGGCGGGGGGGACGGAGGAGTCGGGATGTGGTAGAAAACAGTAGCCTGGGGTTGTTCTTCGCCTCCAGGAGTAGAAGGACGACTTGGCCGAGGCTAGAGTGGAGTGGTAGATTTTGAGGAGGTCCAGCCAGATTTGTCGGTGGACCGTTAGGCCAGATTTAACGCAGGTGCGTTCAGCGGCCCGCACCTGGCTATTCAGTGAGCGGAGGTGGGTGGTGAACCAGGGGGAGGAGCGAGAGTAGGAGACAGTACGGGAGGTGATGGGGGCAAGAGTGTCAAGTGTGGAGGAGAGGGTGTTGAGGAGGGTGAGAGGAGAAGAGGGGTCAGTGAGGATTGAAGGTCAGAAGGAGAGGAGTTCAGAGGACTCCAAGGCAGCGGTTAGGGATTGTGGGGGTAACTCCTTCCAGGGGCGGTAGAAGATGGTGGTGGGTCTGGTGGAGGTGGGGCCTGGTGGAGGTGGTGAAGGAGATGAAGTGGTGAATAAGAAAATAATGCTCAACATCACCTTCAAATCCTTCTCTGTTAGATAGGAATTTAGCTTATAGTTGCACTTCTATAGATAGTATAATCTGATCTCACTCTTTGTTTTGGTCAGTTGGGTGTTAGACACAGGTGTCAATTGGACTATATGAATTCAAAGTTTGGACATGGAGCTTGAATCCAGTCTTCAGAGGCAAGAGTGCTATCAACTGAGGACTGAGGTTGGCTAACACTTTGAGCTGTTTCAACACGATAAGGAGGTGTAAAATAATACAAGTTATTTCTTCTTTCTTTCTATGAGGTAAAAAGATCTGATAGGAATCCTGACGCTGATCACTTTCCTGGGACTCCTGCTACTGTAGAAAGTAGGCATGAATATTGGGCAAAAGCAGGGTTGGTTCAAGGGTGATGCCTGCCATAACTTCTGATGCACACTACCAAGGGATAAACGTGAATAATGTTCACTTGGAAAGCTGTACTCTGGTAAGAGTTAATGCCTTTAACAGAGCAGAATAAAGGAAAACATAGAAGGGTAACAATATAATTGACAATGCCTGCAAAAAAAAATTAACATCCATTTACCATTACCCTCTAACACAGAGAACTTACTAACTCTTGAATGAATTCAGTCTTTCCATTTTGTCAATTACTTTAACACCTTTGCAAAACCTCTGTGTTTGCCAGAAAACTCCAATCAGAGCAATAATTTGGTTTGAGCTCTTGAAAGAGCTGCTTGAAATGACCGCTATTATTTGATGGAGATGGATGCTGAGTGTGAGTGGTTCAAATTTAATGATAACAAAAAATAAGTATGTTGAGAAAGATTTAAAGAATAGCTGTATATTCAATTCTTGTGACACAATTTAGCATTTTAGACTTAATATAGCCTTTTACTTCTTCGTGAATTTATGCTGAGTACAGGAAGCGTAACAATATGAACAAGATGCTGTGTTCATTCAAGCTTTACCAATTTTTGTAATCAATTTCAGGTCTTGCATTTGCAAGGCCTTTGGAACAATTTACTTGTGAAATCATGGTTTTATGATACATTATGCATTATTAATTTTTAGCTGGAATACATATTAGCCTCAATAGCAATTCCTCCTGGAGTTTTTAATTTGAAGGTAAGTTGTTGTAGTCATTATAGAGCTTCTAGTGAAGCAGAAGAGCAAATAAAGTGACTCACATATTTTGCTTGAAGTTACTTTTCTTGTTTTCTTGCCAGTTACTGTGCTTTAATAGATATATCCAGTGAAAATAAATAGCCACGTTGTGTTTTTTTAATTAAAATTGTCATATTTTCTATTGTAATGGGAAAGTAATGCGTATAATTTGGGAAGTTTGCTTGCGATGGTTGTGAATTTTTGCTCAGTAAATTAATTTTTTAAAAATGCTCACTGCAATGTAGCGAGGCTTAATTGCAGGTCTTTGTGTGCAGTTAATCTGTATGGTTTGTCTGTGTTCAATACATTCCATTCCCTGTTGCAGAATGGATTGACCTCTCAAACCTTACACCCCACTCCTCTCTACCCATCCTCTTTGCTCAGCTGGCTCCAGCCTTCTACACATCTCTCGTGTCTTTCATTCCACCATCAGCGGCTGTGCTTTCAGCCCCTACACCCTGAAACTCTGGAACTCCCTGCCTCAATCGTTTTGCCTTGCCCCCTAATTGCCCATCTTCAGATCGCACCTGAAGACCTTTCTTTTTGTTCCAGCCAAGAGTCACTGCCTTTCTCTCCCCGGCTTGGTGTCAAGCTCCCCCACTGTTAAGCCCTCTGAAACATTGCTCTGTATGAAGGTACCATATACATGCAAGTTGCTGTTGTAGTACAGCAGGGTTTTTCGCACCAAGTGAAGTTACTTTGAAGGAGATTGCATTGGGTCAATAAATGAACTATTTGCAAGGAAGTATTTATTTATCCAGAGGGTAATTAATGACTGGGAAAAGTTACCAGAAAGGGTGGTTCAGGTCACAACACATGAACTCATTTAGCTGAAGTGTTGGGAGGATGATAGGGTGAGAATTCTGGAAGGATGAGATCAAGGGGGCCAAAGGGCTTCATTCCAAACTCTTTTGTGATCTTGTGCACTTGGTATATAGTCCAAGACCACTTACTAACTGCCTCAACAGAAATCCCCAGATGCCAATACTAATGTAATGCAGAGACGTACACCAAGGTTAGACTCCTAGAATTAAGGCAGCCAGCGGTTATCTTTTTTAAATCATATAGATATTTAGTAGCCACATAGATATTCCAGTGCCTTGGAACCTGACGTGAAAAGCACGATACAAATATAAGTAGTTGTTGTTGTTGTAGTACCGTAGTCTATTATTTAGTAGTTTATTGCAAATGTGAAATAGTATTGTAAAGACATTTGGTGCTACCCACAAACAGATGAAGCTCACAGAGGCAATCTTAATAATAATAATTCTTGCATTTGTTATAGCGCTTTTCATGTCTTCTAGAAGCCATAGCTTCAGGGCGCAGTGGCTGAAAACATGGCTGCTGATGATGGGGCAGAGGGTCCGGGGGAACAAGGAGGAGGCCAGAGTCAGTTGAGTGGAGGCAGCGGGTAGTGGTGTAGGGAGAGAACAGGTTGGAGAGAACAGGGGTGCCAGGGTGTGAAGGGATTTAAATACAAGAGTGAGGTTCTTGAGAATGCGGGAGGCAGAGTTTTGAATTAGTTGAATTTTGTAAATAATGGAGTAGGGGAGACCAGTGAGGAAGGCGTTTGTTTGAATAGTCAAGGCGGGAGGTGACGAAGACATGGACAAAGGTTTCGGCAGCTTTTGGAATGAGGTACGGACGGAGACAGACAATGTGGTAGAGATGGAGGTGGAGCTGTGGAACTCTCTCCCTCAATTCCTTCAGCTTGCCCCTCTCTCACCCCATTTTCAGGTCATGCTTAAAGATGTTCCTCTTCGACCGTGCCTACGATCACCTTCCCCCTCCAGTTGGCTCCGCATCGGGCTCTGCCAGGGACCGGGTGTGGAGTAGGAAGGATAGCTGGGGATTGAACCTGACCCTAAGTTGCTCACGAGGTTCGGTGAGTCTTAGGGCAAGATCGGGTAGGGTGAGATGGTCTGCACCACAGAAGAGAAGACGTTGACAAGAGCCAAAGAGTATGTTCCAACATTCAGCTCCAGAAAGTTTGTGCTCATCCAAGGCTTGATGTTTGTCAGATAAGCTGACAGGACATCAGCAGACTAGGAGTCGCAGCTGGAGGAAGACAAGTAGATTTGTATACATACAATACAAAATTACATTTGTAATGTGCCTTTCACGTCGGAAGGAGGTCCCAAGATGCTGGAATTGAAACTTTACCCCATGTCTCTGGAGGACATTGCCGAGAGGGAGCATGTAGATGAGGAAAAGAAAGGGGCCAAGGATGGAGCCTTGGAGTATCCTACAGGTGACCAGGCGGGTGGGAGAGTGGATAAACCATTTGCTGAGATGAAGTGCTCGCAGTTGGTTAAGTGGGACTTAAACCATGCGAGTGCTGTCCCACTAAGTTAGCTGAGGGAGGAGAAGCTGTGGAGGAGTATGTTGCAGTTGATTGTGTCGAATGCAGCAGAAAGGTCCAGGAGGACAATGAGGCAGAGGTAGCCCAGGTCACATAACGAGAGGATGTAATCTGTTACTTTGACGAGCGCTGTCTCTGTGCTGCAATTTGGGCGAAAACCGGACTGACCATATGAAGCAAACAATTAGCAAGCATGTAAAGAGACATTATGGTCCATTAACCAACAGTCTAATCTAGATAATGGACCATGCATGGCTACTTGAGGCTTGTGTTGCAAACCAGGGTTCTGTCTCACTACACTTTGCATTCATGATCGAAAGGATAATTTGTAATTAACAGAATGGACTTGTGATATTTCTTAATGTGATTCATCCATTAGAATCCCACTATTGACCAGTGCTTGGATGTAGATTGCATCAAAGTAGAATTCCCATGGGTCAGTGTGACATAGTTACAGAAGGAGACACCAGGAGCAGTCTCCATTTACTCAAATCAAGTTCATAATAGGAAATTCCATTAAGAAATATAACAAACTAATGGCTGTTTTGGTATGGTTTATCGAGGATCCCAGATTAGGATGATACAGATCAGATAAGAGCAACCATTTTATAGTATAAGAGGAGAAAAGGGACTTTATAAAGGATACAATTCAGTCCATATCCGCTAACATTATGGCTGAACTCCATCTTCCCTTGTTCCGAGCCTGATTCGATCTTTATTCCAGAAACTAGTCTCTCTTGAGCCAAAGCCAATAGCATGATCCTTGCCATTCTTTTCTTAAGGCCTAGCTTGCATCTTCTCATTTGCAAGGTTGCTTCCTCTTTCTCTCATTTTCGTTTAGCAGTTTCTTTCTAGGCTCTGCAGCCTATATTATTCCCAGTCCTTTGGTACCGACTGTACCTATTAGAAAAAAGAATTAAGACCTTGTATCTTATAATATTGAATCATCTCAAAGTACTCCACAATAATTATTAAGTGTAGTGATATTTCTTAATAGATAATGGTGGAACCATTTTGTGCACGCACCTCTGTTTACCTTGCAGTAAGTAATAACCCAGTTGTCAGTCAATTGGCGGATAGCTTTTCTTAAAAATTCCTTAAAAAAAATTGTGTCAACTCAATCCATGACAATTTGTAGGAACCTGCTGTGCGCAATTGGCTGCTATGTTTCGCGCACAAAATATACAATTCGTATTGCAGTGTATACTGTGAAGCAATTTGAGATGTCTCAAAAACATAATTACAGAAGGAGACACCAGGGGTTCCCATTTACACAAATCAGGTTCATTTTTAAGGAATCACATTAAGAAATATTGCAAACTAATAGCTCTTTGGATCCTTTATCTGAGGATCCCAGGTTTGGACTTCGAAGATCAGATAAGAGCAATCATTTTACAGTATGAATGGAGAGAAAGGTCTTTATTAAGGATACAATTCTGCTACCATTGGGGCTGAACTCCATTTTCCCTTGATTCAAGCCTGGTTTGGTCTTTATTCCAGAAGCTGGTCTCTCTTGAGCCAAAGCTAATAGCATTATATTTATCATTCCTTGCTGAAGGAATTGCTTGCTTCTTTTCCTGCTGGGATCGATGTATCATATCATATCGCAACTAGGAATAGGACTCACTCCAAAGCAAATAACTAGCTGACACTTCCCTCTCCCTAACAAGAATTTAAAGGTTGGCTCAGTTTTAGTCCCTCAAGGAATGTCTTGGAAGATTTTCCTAATTCTCTCGTGTGGACTGTAGTGTCTTACACCCTCTTCTTCACGCTTACAACGCTTCGGAGTTAAATTGCCATTGACAAGCATGAGATGCAATATTCAACTGCTAGAGCGTTGTCCTTGACTCTTCCTACAGATCTGCTGACATTTAAGTTTTTTTCTTTTTGAGTTAATTCTAGGCTGAAGATATTAAACTTGTCTGATACTCTGCATAGATTAGTTTGAAAGTACATCCTGGCATGGTGAGTAAAACCTGATATTTATCTAAAATCAGAATAAGTTGTATCTTTCACACGGTGATCAGTCTTATTTGAAGTTTTTTTCATTAGTTTTTCAATATCCAATACTTGGTTGGCATTTTCTAATAACTTGCAATGGTGCCCATATCATATAATTTTGATTCTGTCAGGAACAGGAAGGGAACCCAGAAAATTTCGGCAGTACTTGCTTATTTATTTTCAAAAATGCTTGTAGTAAATGAAGAAAATAAGGATTGGAGCTACAATCTTAGCTCCACGAAATCTGAACCATAGCTAGGTATTGAAGCTAAAGGTCAATGTAATGATATTTTCCCTACCCTTCATTTTATTAAATTGAACCCATTACTACCATTCCACTGACCTTTTTTCCTTATTATATCTCAAACAATAAAAAGTCTCCAATGACTTTTAAGGTCAATTCCAGGCTTCAGACTTATGTATGAAAAGAAAAGCATTCATAACCAATTACATTTACAAAAAAACTTGCTGGCAATTAAATTTTACAATTTGCAAAGCTTTTTTTTGTGCAACTAAAGGATTGTTCAGGAAATTTGCGGCTCCTTTTAACCATTCCTCTGATTTTCGAAGTCAGTGTCAAGCAATCTTTTAAGGTTATTTATACTTTAAACTTTAAACTTTCTTAAACTTCTAAATCAGCACCTTAGGACGTCCTCCCGACGTGAAAGGCGCTGTGCAAATGTAATCTTGTTGCTATTGTTGTTAAACTTTAGTATAGAGCATGACAATCTCTTAAATTAGCTTTGTGTCCTGTCTGGTTGAAATGAATCTTAATAAAGTACTAAACCATTTTGATTTAATTTTGAATGTACTCTATGGGAGGAGAGAATTAGACAATCCAATAAGTATTAGATATATAACCACAGGTGTGGGATTCTGTTCAGTTATTGTAAGAGACTAAAAATATATTCCTTATACTCAGCAGTATTGTCACATCAAGGTTCGACAACCAAACTCCCTCCTTGTCGGCCTCCCCAACTCCCCATATCAATCTGTCCACTCCCTTTCTTCAGCAGGCTCTGGCCTGCTCCATGTCTCCCGCCCAACCCGCCCTACCATCAGTGGCCGGGCTTTCGGTCTCTCTGCCCCCACCCTTTGGAACTCCATCCCATAATCCCTTCGCCTTGCTCCCTTCCTTGCCTCCTTCAAGGCACGATTCAAGTTCCTTTTTCGACTGTGCCTTCACCTGCCCTCCTACCTCTCTGCCCTCCCTCACCCCAACGCTAGCCTCCCCATGCTACCCCCATCAGGTCCTGATACTCGACTGTTCAGCACCTTGGGACGTTCTCCCGACATGAAAGACGTTTTACAAATGTAATGTTATTGTTGCATTAGACCAAATCTAATGTGTATTTGATGCTGTTACCTTACAAAGTAACCTTGACAACTGTGGAGGTTCTATTTGTGATCTGTGCTGCTGAAAACAAAATGAAAGCACTATTAACTCCTCTTCTTCATCAGTTCAAAGATGCTGTTTGTTATTGAAAAATATTAATTCCACTGAACGATTGGGTCCCTTGACCTCTTTGATAAAATAACCTTTGAGATTTTTGCAACAACTCAACGATAAACGTAAACTCTCTTACGTGGGTTTTGAAGCAGTTGAGTGGAAGGCAACACTTCAAAACAGCCTGGGTCTCACGGATAAGTGGGTATTCCAGGATCAGCAAATGTGGGCAGGTGAAAGATGACAGTGCAAAATTCTACATTGATTAGCGAATAAATACTAGGATACATTCAGGATAATTCCACAATTCCAACACATGGCAGGAGAGGAAACCATCACTGATCCTGCCATCCTACAGGGATCACGGACTATCCATTTGCTGCTGGTAATGGAATGTTCACATTTTGAAGAAAATTCTCCACTTGTTCCTGAGATCTAAGCATCTTTTTGAAAGTATCTAATAATAACTCTACCACACCCTAAAATATGATTTAGGAACGCGTGGGGTCCAGGTATTTTGAGGAGCTGATTTTGTATAGAAGCACAAAATGGCATGAAAGTTTGAGGAAAAAGCAACATCTCTTGTTAAGGTCCCATTACATTGTTAAATTCTCATAAATGTGAACTTGTGCCCATAGAATAATAATCAATGTTTTTCTAACGCACAAAATTTGTTATCAGTGGTAGCCATGCCTCTTCACTAGAATAATAATTCTTCATATGCCAAACTGTGCAACACTTTGAAGCACTTTGAGGCGATAAAACACTATTATTATTATTGTTATTATATCAAATGCAAGGATAATTATTATTTTTATATGATTCTTTGAGCAAAATTATTTCACCCAAAATTCAGTCCTGTGTGCAGATGTTCACCTTTTAGTGAACACCTGTGCACAGGACTGACTGTTATGTAAGGCAAATATTTTTATGGGTTAAAGCAGAAGAAGCTGGAAAAAAATAATATTTTGCTTGAAGGCACATCTCTGGAACTCCATCGTGGAGCCCCTCTAAATTGCTCCCTCCTGCTTTTAAGGCACATTTGAAAACATACCTCTTTACTTAGCTTTTGCTTCATCTTTCCTTTCCCTACCTCCCCTAGGTCCTACACCACCATGGGTGCCCATCCAGCACTATGAAGTGCTTTGAGACATACTCCTGACATTAAAGGCACTATATAATTGTGAATTGTATTATATTGTATACTCCCTATTGTACTGTCACGCAGTGAGAATCGTTGCAACACCCATTATCCCAATGCTGTATCAAGCCCTTCAGCAGCATCTTACAACAACATTTGACAACCGTAAATTAACATTGGACTTAAATGAAATGAAATGATAGCATTCTCCGATTAAAAAAACACTCTGATCTTCAGCTTGCCCAGTAATGAGGGCCAATTTAGATTTTTATGGTGACAACATGAATCTTCAAAGCTCCAAAGAAAGACCAATGGGATTTGAGTAGGATTTTTAAATAGGTTGCAATATTTTAATCTCCGAATCCCATCATTAATTTTACAATTGTTAGGCCATCATTTGTTTGGTGTTATCTGTTGTTTAGCTTTATGTACAGAGGAATATGAAGAAGTATTAGTTGAAATACAAAGTGTTATGGATATATTGGGTTCAGAATGGCTGTATTTCAACCTGAATTTTCAAAGAATATAAATGTAAATTATTGCTGGTAGCCCTTTGTTTGTAACACAAACCCATGGAAACTGCACTGCAGCATATTATACTTCTAGCAATTTAGAGTATAGTTCCTGTAGGTTGGCGTGAATAAATTTAGTTTTCAGTAGGATTCAACAATTTACAAAACTTTAGAAACATTATATTTTTTACCCTTTTATTGTGGCAGTATAAGTCATATGGCGGGGTTCAATTCCCGACAGGGCTAAACCTTGGGCAAGTTTCCTTACTCCACACGCCTGATAATAATCCCTCAAGAAAAAAAACAATAATAAATTGGTCACTTCAATCCATGACTGTTTGTGGGACACTGCTGTGCACAATTGGCTGCCGCGTTCGCCCACAAATGTACAGTCAATTCACTTTACAGTGTGTTCTGTGAAGCGTTTTGGGACGTCTTCAAGACGTGAAAAGTGCTATAACAAATCAAGGATTATTATTATTATGTGCTACAAATGTACATATGCAGATAGGATGCCATTCAATTGTTACTCCTGGTATAACCATCCTCGTTTTAATTGGTATATATCTTTTGTTACAAGAATGTGTCTATATTTGTGCTTGAGTGGAAAATTATTGCTTGATCTGTGCTGTTTTGTATTCAAAACCATAAAACGATTAAAATGCAAAACAACTGTGCTTCTTAAATTTGTTTTAATATTTAGAAAGTAACGTCAATTGTGTCTGCTATCACTTCTTGTTGTTTGTTCTATGCATTCCTTTTTTTATATCGTTTTATATGAAGAATCCTTTTTAGTTTAGTGAGGGGAAAACCAACCAACCAATTCCTGTTCCTGGTCCCTCTAAACGCACCTATTAGTTGTGAGCATGTATGACAGCTGGGTGGGGAGAGGTCAGGTTCGATTGTGACTCCCTCTACGGTGAGTACCAAGCACGACGCTCACTACCAAGACTCACACATGAACAATGATTATTTGGGTGAGTACAGAAGAGCAAACAACACCCCTGGAACCGTGCCCCAACAAGAGGAAGACGGAGCAAGAGCACAGAGGCCAATCGGAGAAAAAATAGTCGGAAAAATAATTGAATAAAGTAAACATTTATAGAGACGAGGATCATTTTTTAAAAAAAGGAATTATGTCACCAAAGGCAGCAGGTCGCAGTTGGCCTATAATTAGTGATATACAACAACTTGCAACATGCCGGATGGAGTCTCCAAGCGCTTAACAGTGATGGAGCCCGATATTGAATCATGGGAGGGGGAAGGTGACCGTACACATGGTCGAAGAGAAAGGTCTTCAAGCGCAACCTGAAAATTGGGAGAGAGGGGTTAAGGTGAAGGGATTGAGGGAGAAAGTTCCACAGCTTTGGAGCTTAGTGGCTAAAAGCACGGCTGCCAATGGTGGGGCGGAGGGTCCGGGGGACAAGGAGGAAGCCGGAGCCAATCGAGCAGAGGCAGCGGGTAGTGGTGTAGGGAGAGAGCAGGTTCGAGAGATAGGGGTGTGCCAGCACATGAAGGGATTTAAATACAAGAGCAAGGACCTTAAAATTGATCCACTCTGTGACAGGGAGCCAGTGGAGTTTGACAATGCGCAAAGTGTACAGTGCACCAAGAAACTGTGTCTTGAAAGAAACCAATTTTGTTGCCCATTGAAAACCATCGATTGAACCATTGCTGGAAGGAAAATGAAAATGATTTGAGAAGGTCAATTGTAAAGAATATGATGAATGTGGATTGGAATTCAGCATAAGAGTAGATACAGATAGATGATTAGTGGAGACGAACATTAATGTGGAGAAGGAACTCAATGAGATAAAGTAGAGGCCTGTGAAAGCTCTGAGTTATTGGAAAAAGATAAATAAGTTGAACCACCAATTGGATCATAGATAAAGTAATTTGAGAGAGAAAAACTAAGTAGCTCTGAGCTTTATGTTGGTGGCATTGCACAAGATGTTTACAGGAGCATTTTGCTAGAGTCTGTCAGACTTTGTCACTGTCCTATGTAATAAAAAAAACTTGCATTTGTCACCTTTCATGTCGGGAGGACACTGCTAAGCACTTACAAGATTTTCACTGTAAAGCCGTGTCACTGCATGTTTGGGGGCAAAAGTGAATTGGTAATGATGGTAAACAAATCAACAGTGTTCCATTGAAAAAAATGACTTATTTAAAAAAACACACAGGCCTTTTCATTTATATTTTATGAAAAGGGGAATATATTTTTTTCATTTTATGTGATTGCCATTGTGCTTCTTTGCTTTTCTAGATAGTTTTCTTTTAGGAAATAACATTATGGGATATAGTGCATAGATAGTTTGGGACATATGCGCATGTGACCACCAGGAAAGTTGAAGGTGAACTAGATGGACCTTGGTCTTTCTTTGTCTAACATTTCTTATGTTCTTAAGTTCTTCCCCAATTTTCTTTTCAATCTGATTCTCCATCTTTTCCTTGTTTGTTTTATAATGTGAATTATAATTTTTTAACCATATACCTTACCTTCAAACTTTTTACTTATTTGTTTTCCTTGTTCTCTTAGTTTATATACAATCTGACCAGAAGGAGGCATGTGACCCTCCGAGATGAAAAAAATCCACAGCCCATCAAAAGTCTAGAATGGAAAGATTCACGATCGATGCATCAGGTAAATCTTTGAGCTGTAAAACACAGAAAAGTCTCTGTTAATGGGTACATTGATCAATGCAACCTGGAGCCTGACAGCCAGCCCAAATTGATATTAGTGTCATTTGATATTACATTGAAACGTCTCAAAGTACTTCACAGTATAGTAATTATTTTTGCCCACAAAATAAACACAATCACCCACTTTATACAGTATTTTTTGTGAAGGATTTTGAAACATCTTGATGACCTGATAAGGACTATTATTATGGAGTGAGTGTGTATTTGTAAATTAACATGGCAGTTAATTTGCTCTCAGCAATGTTTATGAGGTGAATGATCAATTTAACTGGAGGATATGTTGGCCAGACCACCAGGAGAAACTCCCTCTCTTATTGAACAGTGAATTACCTGAATGTCCTCCAGCACTCAAAGCTGCAACCCTCTGACACATTTCAGTTGCACCATCTGCACCATCTTGTCTTCAATATAAAGACAAAATGGTTTGCAGTCTGAGACTCAGGTATCAATTGTGTGTAAAATAATCCTTCGCAATGAAAAAGTTAACAAGCTTTATTCCAGAAGATTTATTCACCCTCGAGTCTCTTGTGTGAGACGAGTTATTAAAATGCTTTATGGAAGTGAAGATAGGACATCCGTTGTTACATTCTCATTTTATTGCAGCACAATCTGCCTTCTGCAGGCATATTAACTTGATGTATCACTTGTAGTCTTCCTTAAATGCATTTCAACTACTTACTTTACATAGAGCTAATATTTTTCTACAAAGATATCAAACTAACTATGAGTTTCCATATTAAGGTTCAAACTTTATACCAAAAAAAACACTGGCTATTTCTGATTTTCAGTCTAATTTGTAAACTTGACTACATTTCTGCAGCTTAGTGTCATATTTTACCTTATTTCCCTTGAATATATTTGGTTACATTCCATCAAATTCATTGCCTTATTAACATTCTCATAGGGTCTAGTTTTTAATTTAATTAAAATTGTATTATTGCCCTTTCTCAGCAAGTACTATTGAATGCTATTAAATTCTGACAAGCATTTCAAATGGGCATGGCTCATGACATTTCATGACATTTCATTGTGCAATCTTTTGTTTTGTTCAGGTTACAATTTTATATCTGAAGTTCAACAACAACAACAAATTACACTTGTATAGCACCTTTCACGTGGGGAGGATGTCCAGTCATAAGTTGGAAGCTAAAAAGTAATCAAAAAGGCGAATGGAATGTTGGCCTTTATCTCAAGGGGTCTGGAATACAAAGTGGAAGAAATGATGCTTCAGCTTTATAGAGCGTTAGTCAGACTCCCATCTGCAGTACTGCGTTCAGTTTTGGGCACCACACCTCAGGAAAGATATTTTGGCCCTGGATGGGGTGCATCGCAGGTTCACCAGAATGTTACCAGGCCTAAAAGGGTTAAGTTATGAGGAAAGGCTGCGTAAAAGGCTGCACTCTCCACCTCTCAAAGTCAGTCAGGAACCTCGGTGTTCTGTTTGACCCTGAGCTGTCCTTTCTCCCTCATATCCGCGCCACAACTGGCACCGCCTTCCATCACCTCCGGAATATCGCCAGACTATGGCACTACCACACCCCTCACGCTGCTGAAACTCTGGTCCACGCCTTTGTCACCTCAAGGCTGGACTATGGGAACTCTCTCCTCATCGGCCTTCCCGCCACCTCCCTCCACAAGCTGCGGGTCATTCAGAACTCTGCAGCTCGTGTACTGTCCCGCACCAGGCTTCGGGACCACATCACTCCCACCCTCGCTCGCCTCCACTGGCTCCCCATCCCCCAGAGGATCGAATTCAAGATCCTCATCCTCACCTACAAGGCCATTCACGGCCTTGCTCCCTCCTACCTCTCCGACCTACTATCCCCCTACCTACCTGCCCGTACCCTCCGTTCCTCTGGCTCCGGTCTGCTCCACATCCCCCGCCCCAACCGCCCTACCATCGGTGGCCGGGCCTTCAGCCTCTCAGCCCCGAGGCTCTGGAACTCTATCCCCCAGTGCCTTCGCCGCCTCCTCCCTTTCCTCCTTCAAGGCCGGTCTCAAGACCTTTCTCTTTGACCGAGCCTTCAGCTCCCCTCTCGACTCTCTACCCCCTCCTCGCTCCCTCCCTCCCTCCCTCCCCTCACCCTGACCATTTCCCCCCTGCTCGGGTCCTGACCCAACTGTACAGCGCCTTGGGACGTCCTCCCGACGTGAAAGGCGCTCAATAAATGGAATCTTGTTGTTGTTTTTGTAAACTTGGATCGTATTCCCTTGTGTTTAGAAGGTTGAGGGGTGATTTGATTGAGGTATTTTAGATGATAAAGGGATATGATAGGGTAAATACAGAGAAGCTATTTCCTCTGGTGGGGGAATCCAAAACAAGGGGGCATAGTCTTAACATTAGAACCTGGCCATTTAAGAGTGAAATCAAGAAGTATTTTTTCACTCAAAGGGTGATACAAATCTGGAATTCTCTCCTCCAGAAGGCTGTGGATGCGGGATCCATCCATATCTTCAAGAGTGAGGTTGATAGATGTTTGGTAGATCAGGGTATTAAGGGATATGGAGAGAAAGCGGGAAATTAGAATTGAAAGGATTAGTTGAGGTACAGATCAGCCACGATCTAATTAAATGGTGGAATAGGCTCGAAGGGCTGATTGGCCTCTTCCTGTTCCTGTGTTCCTATGGAAGCTTTTTTTTAAGAACTGTGGATAATTGGCTTCCAATTAAGATGAGTTTAAGAACTTTCCACAACTCGGCACTGCCTGATCCTTTTAAGGCAAAATGGATTTATATGTTAAGACTAACGAGAATGTGTCAAAGTTTGGAGCTTCAAGTATCAAAGGTTAATTAACGTGCACTTAAACAGGCAGATAAGATATTGGTTTAACATCTCATTTTCAGGATAGTACCTCTGATATTCAGTACTCTTTCCTACATTTACTAGCAGTAAGTAGGAACCCGGTTGTTAGTCGATTGGCGGATCGCTTTTCCATGGGTAATAATTCCTTCAAAATAAAAAATAGTAATAAATAAATTTGTCACTCAATACACAACTGTTTGTGGGACATTGCTGTGTGCAATTGGCTACCGCGTTTCATCCACAAAGTATACAGTCAATTCGCTTTACAGTTTATTCTGTGAAGCACTTTGAGACGTCTCAAAGACATAATAAGGCGCTATATCAAATGCAAGGATCATTATTATTTTTATTATTACACCTCCAACATTGTATTGGAATGTTGCATTAGAGGAAAGAAATTTCTCCTAACCCCTTCCAAAATTGTTTTGCTAACAGTCTTGAATAAAATTTGATATATACAGTATTGAATTAATACGGCAAAGTTTGTGATGTTTCTTAACCTTAGAGTCTTAACTACAATAGTATGAGGAATGAATGAGGTTCACTGGAGAGAAAAATTGGCAAACAAAATGTTGAAACTAACTAATAAGGGGATGCCATGGATAAAAAAGGAGGTGAAGACAAAACTGCAGTGAAAGAAAAAAGCATTTGAAAAGTACAGAATAGATAACGGAGAGGAAAACAGAAGTAAATACGGTAAACGTATGAAAGAGGTTAAAAGGATGATTAGGAAGGCAAAAATGAACCATGAGGAGAAGGTTGTGGAGTCCTGTGGCTCAGTGGTTAGAGCACTCGCTTTGCAAGTGAGAGACCTGAGTTCAATTCCAGGCAGGGCGAAACCTTGGGCAAGTTTCCTTACTCCACACGCCTAATAATAATCCCTCCAAAACTAAAAACAATAATAAATTGGTCATTTTCAATCTACGACTGTTTGTGGGACATTGCTGTGCGCAATTGGCTGCCGCGTTTGCCCACAAATATACAGTCAATCAATTCACTTTACAGTGTACTCTGTGAAGCGCTTTGGGACGTCCTCCCGACGTGAAAAGCGCTATATCAAATGCAAGGATTATTATTATTATTATTATTAAGGTAGCAAAAAACTGTAAAAAGAAACAGCAAGGTGTTCTAGCAATACAAGAATGGAAAGGGGTAGAACTGTTTAAGGAAGAAGCTCACAGCAGATAATAAGATGATGGTAGAAATACTAATTGAATATTTGCCTCAGTTTTCACAAAGGAAACTGATAAAGACAATTTAGTAAGAACAGAAGGGACAGGGTGTAAAATCGCAACAGTTAAGATAATATAATAATAATAAAAATAATAATAATCCTTGCATTTTATATCGTGTCTTATCACATCTTCAAGATGTCTCAAAGTGCTTCACAGAGTATATTGCAAAGTGAATTAACTGTCCATTTTATGGGCAAAAAGATAAAAAAAATCAAAAAGAAAATGGAAACCAGGTTGAATAGTAAGATAAGGGATAAACCCATTGTAAAATACGAATAAATGTAAGAGAGAGGCAGAGTAATTCACTAGTTTAAATAATGGAGTCAATTGTGATGTGTTAATTAACACTTATGAGCAAACTAATACTTGTAATAAATGTAGTGACCTTTAGATATGTGAGACATTAATTGGTCATTTCGGTCTACCACAGGTTCACCTCCTCCCTCACATCCTGCCCCCCTCCCCCCCGCATACCTTTTATAATGGAATCGGATTACAATACTGTATATTGCAATAAAATTTACATTTATATAGGAATAACAACAATAACAAATTACATTTACTTTCAATTCAAGAGGACATCCCAAGGCGCTGGACAGTCAGGGATTTGGACTCGAGCTGGGGGTTGGGATCAGGATGGGTGGAGGGTAGGGAGAATAGGAGCAGGAGGGTGGCTGAAGGCGTAGGCGAAGAGGATGGACTTGAAACGTGCCTTGAAGGAGACAAGGGAGGGAACAAGGTGAAGGGACAGTAGGATGGAGTTCCAAAGGGTGCGGGCAGAGAGGCTGAAGGCCCGTCCGCCGATGATGGGTGGGCCGGACGGGGGATGTGGAGCAGGTCAGAGCCTGCTGAGTGAAGGGAGCAGACAGGCTGATATGAGGTTAGCAAGTCACAGAGATAGGAAGGGGCAAGGCCA